TCTTTGGTACGACACTAGTCTAGACTTGTGCTTCATCAACAATATGAGTTAGTTGTACTACCTGTATTATACATGAGGTTCTCTGTGCCTCTATTCTACATCTGCTGTTTCTCTATCCAAGGATACCTAACAACCTCAAGTTTTCCAAGGAAAGGACTGACATCAGGTTCATTGATGTATCTTTCATTCTTGCCAAAACTTAAGGTGCACTTTACTTAAAAATCTAGAATACATCTGAATACATCTCTTTAATCAACTTGGTGTGCCTCAATAACCAACTCAAGTTTTGGCTCCTCAGTCCCTCCTTTCCATTTTGTTTCTTTTCTTAATCTTTTGCCAATACAAAGAAATAAAAAAATAAACATTTTAACTCCTCAATGCCTTCCTTGTTTTTATGATTTTTCTTATTCCTCTTTTTCTTATATAACTTTTAACTGTTCGTGTTCTTCGTATTATAGTCATTCTTGATTTCTTTTTCCCTTTATTTTTGTTCTTGATCATGCTATGCTCTTGATTTCTTTTTCTTTGGGCCTACTCTTCTGAATCCCTTCCATCTTTTGCTTCTTTCCTCTAGTATTTTTTTTCTTTTCCTTTCCTTGCCTTTTTATCTCCTTTCCTCTTAAGGATCTGTGTTAAGTTTAGTTTCAGCTGCATTTAAAAAAAGTAACACTTTCATGCCCTGGCAGGTGCGGCTCAGCTGGCTGGGCGTCGTCCCAAGTGCTGAAAGGAAGGAACACCCTCTTCATCAAAAGTACTCACTCAAGTACAGCTCCGAGTCTTCCTCACCAGGAACACTAAGTTCAGGAAGAAAGGGGTATGGGGTTTCTTTATCCGCCTCTTTCTGAGTATACTTAGTAGGAAATATAACTACCATTTCTCACAAAAGTTATAAGGTATATAACCTGTACGGCAGCCAGATCAAGTCAGTAAGTGCTTGTGGCATTCGGTCAATAGAGGGTGATCGGGATGTGGCAGGAACTTTCAACAGCCTGTTCTGAGATGATCAGACAGAACAAGTGAATCACTTATCCAGTTAGGCNCTTTCAACAGTCTGTTCTGAGATGATCAGACAGAACAAGTGAATCACTTATCCAGTTAGGCAGTCAGAGTCACAAGTCAAAGAAAACTCCACTCAACCTGGTTGAAACAAGAAAGGCTAACATAATCAAAAACTCCCTAAGGAACAATGCCACAAAAAAACCTATATTCTTTCATTCTCTCTGCATTGCCTTCTATGGTATCAGTTTTAATCTAGCCATGGCTCCCCTAGTGAACTCAGCCAATCCTAGGACTACATGCCATTGGCTCACATGCAACAGACAAATGGGTTCCCAGCAAAATTCCTAAGATTTAATTGGACAAGTCTTGGTCATACAGCTTCTTCTGAAGCAATCACTGTGAAAGGGAAGGTAGGATGCCATGATCTGCTAATCCTAGTTCAAGTGCTCCACCTCTGGGTCCTGGATAGACAACTCATGGGAACCACATGGTCTCAAGAGAAGGAGCACCAAAGAATTATATGTTGGGAAGGGAACCAGCACATCTCTACTGCTTGAGGCAAAGCTGAATGCAGACAGTACAAAATAACTATAAGCCTGCAATTTACTAAGTATATGTTCTTTTTCCATGGAGTTATTTGGTAATTATAGGATTATGAAAATGAGTAAACACATTTTATTTTATGGAAATGGTGCTCCTCTACATTCTTTCACAATGAATTCCTCCAGGAACTCTTTCTGAGACTACTGACCTCAACACAGTTACTTATTATTATTGTTAAATAATTTAAATGTTCTTACTGTAAAATAATGAGAAGAAAAAAATAACAGAACCACAACAAATGACTACTTTAGAAAATAATGATATTCTTGCGGGGGGGGAAAAGTGCTAAAGATCACTCAGTGAATTTTTTTAAAAAGAAGTAATATAAAGACAGTTAAGCAAATATAGGAGAAAAATCGCTTTTAAAAGTGAGAAGAGACAAGAATCTCATTTCATAAGTAAGCAACTGTCATTCTCTTCTATTCTCAATCTCAATACCCCTCTTCTAACTAAATATTAAATAAAGACCTTATGGAATTAAAGGCCAGGGCATTAACAACTGAACATACAGTAGAGTCATCTGCCTGGTCATTTGAGGATGGGCAGGGGTTGGGGGCTGAGGGTAACTTTCACAGTAGTAAAAGTAGTTAATTATAGGTAGATCATACACAGGTATTCAAATAAATGAATGTCAATCTTTAGTCCCCGCCAAAGAGGACTATGTATATTTTCTAGAGCTTCTGAATGTCAGTTTTAAAGGAATTCTCACCAGTAAGTACAATACTTTTATTTTCCCAGTGCTTAAAAAAAAGAAAGAAAAGAAAAATAGAATGTTATCTGCAACAGTGAGTCATCAGCCACTGCAGTTCTACAACACCCAGGTCTCTCTCTGTTGCAGCAGCCCTTAGAAAGGAGAGGACTATCATCTTTTAATGACACACATAAATCCCTGCACTGCCTGGTTGCAAAGCATAATTAATTCTGGCCTTTTTATCCTTAATGAAACACCTTAAACACAGGAGAGAAGTGAATTTGAGCTTCTTGTGCACACCTAAAACAGGGAAAGCCCTAGCAACAACCTAGTTCTACTAAAAATGCTCTATATTTCATGCTTACATGTGCTCTGCAATCATTTCTTCAAGATATATCTTATAACAAGCAAATTGTGCTAAAGAACACTTACAATCCACCACCTGTATGAACAGTTCTCTTAACTTTTAAAAGTGTGAAATATTTTGTTTTTCAAATTCCATGAGTAAACACATGGTTTTGTCTCTCAACTTGTGGCTGCGACAGAAGGGTATTTAAACAAAGTAATCTCTGAGATGTAGCTGCTCAATATAATTTCCTTTTATTAGAATAATTTTTCGTATTTTAATATATACTTACATGTTGCAGTACAGAGGCTATTACTCCCGTTGAGAATTTCAAAACATAAATTTTCAAGGTTCCATTTCAAAACACAACTAACACTATGAGTAAAATTTTTGGGAAAAAAACCCCACACACATTTACCTTGAAAGATTTACTTTTCTTCATAATATTCAATTATTCTAGCCCTGAGGAGTTTTGAAAGCAAATTTCTATTTTTAAAGAAGTGACTACTGCTGTTAAGTGCAGTTTCTTTGCTTTAATTATAAACTGTGCATGGAACAAGTAAACGATGAACTAGAGAATCCCTCTCACCTGTTTAGGTGTAACCCCAGGCATTCGAATATCCAATGCAAAATCAGATGAATCGATAGGAGTCACTGGTCGGGTGGTACCAAGACATTCACCGGAAAATGGTCTGGTAGTTTCCTTAAACCTTAAAAAATAAAAGATAATTTCAATATCCTTGAACACAATGGAATCCTAACTTGACGTGAGAAGCAAAAAACACAGAGATTCTATGACTGTAAGATGAAAGATTATTGATTTAGACCCAGTGAAAGATGCAATAACTACATAATATTCTAAAACATTCTCAGAATTGCACTTTATAGTCCATGAGCAATATATGCCTAACTTGTAAACAAAACATAATTAAAGCAAACAGCAGGTTACATTTAAAACTCAATTCAATAAAAACCTGTCAAAATATTTGTTTCTAGTTAATGAAAACACAGTATTAATAAGTTAGAAATTATCACAGTCCTGACACTGTTTTCTAATGGAAGAAATATTATTAACTATAACCTATTCAAATTTTTGTAACTATTTTACGAGAGCCTAGTATTACTAGTCGGAAACAAAACCCAACAATAATATGCTAGGAGGGAGAGTCGGGGGGCGGGGAGGGGGGGAAGACTCCGACGCGCATTACGAATGTGCAAGTGCATAAGTGTTCACCGTGGCAGCTGTGAGCGTACGTACAGAGCTCAGCGTCTCCCCTGAGCTGCCGGCTCCGCGACACGCTTCCCCCGCTCCCCTGCACTGAGACGTTATTCTTCCCGCTATTTCAACACAAGAAGGCATCCCCGTCTACGCGCCTGTATGCAGTCTCTGAAATACCTCCCCAAGAGGGAGCGATCTGGATTGGGAATCACAACTTCTAATAGAAGTTTCGGAAGCCAGTGCAGCCTGGCGACACCGCGGGGCTCTCCGGCGAGGGGCACTTCGCAAGAAGTTGCGGTGCTCAAGCCCCCGTGGCTGGGCGAGCGGAGCCGCCGGCCGCCGCCTCGGCCACTCGGTGCGTAAAAGTGCGCGCGGCTTCCAACCCGCGCCCAGAAGCCGCCCGGACAGCGGGCCGCCCGCTCGCAAAACGCACGCACGCTCACCTCCTCTTGAAGACGAAACAGCTGCTGTGACAAACGAGGAGCAGCGCCAGCAGGCTCCGCAC